ATATCTGCAGCATACTCAAACAGTTTAGAAAGTGTGTGTGTGTGTGTGTGTGTGTGTGTGTGTGTGTGTGTGTGTGTAGACAGAGAGAGAGAGAGAGAAGGATAAAGCAACTGTAGTAAAATGGTAAAATGGGAGATCTGGGTAAAGAGTGCACAGACATTCTTTTGTTTTCTTTTTATAATAGAGATGGGTCTTGCCATGTTGCCCAGGTTGATCTCAAGCTCCCGGCCTCAAGTAATTCTCCTGCCTTGGCCTCCCATAGTGCTGGAATTACAGGCATGAGCCAGTAATTCCAGCTTCATGGCAATTCTTGCACATTTATTTTGCCATATGAACTTGACTTTTCCCTCTATGTGCCTTCTTTTGTTAAAAATATTTATTTAAAAAGTACTATTATTGTCATATCCCTCTATATGCATTTTAAGATAATATTAGGCCAGGTGCAGTGGCCTGCCTATAATTCCACCGCTTTTGCTAGGTGGCAGTGAAAGGATCTCTTGAGCCCAGGAGTTCAAGACCAGCCTGGGCAACACAGGGAGACCCTGTCTCCACATAAAATTAAAAAATAGCCGAGTACACTGGCCCGTGCCTGTAGGCCCGGCTACTAGGGAGGCTGAGGTGGAAAGGATCACTTGAGCACTGGGAGGCTGAGACTCCAATGAGCTGTGATCACACCACTGCATTCCAGCTGAGAAACAGAACAAGACCCTATCTCAAACAAACAGACAAAAAGATAATATTTACTTAGTTCTAAAAACAAAAACAAAACAAAAATCTTGGGATTTCTGACTGCAATTGGCTTCAATTCGAGGGTTACCTTGGGAAGAGCTTACTTACAGGAACATGGTGTATCTCTCTACATGTGGAAGTATTTAAGGCGAATTTATGGCCAGGTGTGGTGGCTCATGTCTGTAATCCCAGCACTTTGGAAGGCTGAGGTGGGCAGATCACCTATGGCCAGGAGTTCAAGACCAGCCTGATCAACATGGCAAAACTCCATCTCTACTAAAAATACAAAAATTAGTGCATACCTGTGATCCCAACTACTCAGGAGGCTGAGGTGGGAGAATCACTTGAACCCGGGAGGTGGAGGCCTCAGTGAGCCGAGATCATGCCACTGCACTCCAGCCTGGAGACAGAGAGAGGCTCTGTCTCGAAAAAAGCAAATTTACGTTAGTAAGTAAATTGTATAAACACAGATCAATATTAAAATATACTTTCGGGGTTCACATCCTCAAGCCATGAGACTGCCTTTTCTTGTTGAGATGGAGTCATGTTCCTTTGCCCAAGCTGTATGGAGTATGGGTGGTGTGATCTCGGCTCACTGCGGCCTCCTGGGTTCAAGCAATTCTTCTGCCTCAGCTTCCCGTATAAAGTAGCTGGCACTACAGGTGCATGCCACTATACCCAGCTAATTTATGTTTTGTTTTTTAATAGCGATAGGGTTTGCCATGTTGGCTGGGCTGATCTTGAACTCCTGACCTCAGGTGATCTGCCTGCCTTGACCTCCCAAAGTGCTGGGATTACAGACATAAGCCACCATGCCTGGCCTGCCTTTTTTTTTGAGATGGAGTTTCGCTCCTGTTGCCCAGGCTGGAGTGTAATGGCCTGCTCTCGGCTCACTGCAATGTCTGCCTCCCAGGTTCAAGCGATTCTGCCTCAGCCTCTAGAGTAGCTGGGATTACAGGCACCCACCACCATGCCCTGCTAATTTTTTGTATTTTTAGTAGAGATGGAGTTTCATCATGATGGCCCGGCTGGTCTTGAACTCCTGACCTCAGGTGGTCCACCCACCTCAGCTTCCCAAAGAGCTGGGATTACAAGCGAGAGCCACCGTGCCCGGCCGCCTTTTTCTTTTCTTTTAAACTCACCTCCCACCATGAGGACAAACCGTGAAGGAACTCAGCTGCCCTCAGGTTGATTCCTGCCGCATGGTGCTGTTGGCTCTTTCTCACCTGTCTCTCCGTGGATCTTTGACGTACTACTTCATATTATTATGCTCATTTTTTCAATGTTTAAACATTTATTTATTTAGAGTGATGGGGTGCAGTGCACTCACTATGTTGCCCAGGTTGGCCTCACACTCCTAGGCTCAGAGGATCCTCACGCCTCAGCCTCCCAAGTAGCTGGGATTACAGGCAGAGGCTGCTGCATCCGGCTATTATGCCCATTTTGCAGGAGAAACCGAAGCTGGGAGTGTGACATGCTTGCCAAGAGTGCCCCAGAGTTAGCAGTGGTTGCACTGGCCTGACGCCCAAGAGTTTTCAGGCAGCTGATGACTCCTGTCCTGGTCTTGATCTTGGGCTTCTCAGTGGCTGCTGGTACTTGTGTTCTGTTTGGCAGCTCCCCAAACTTCAGACATCCAAGCACAAAGTGGCATTTGGTTTGAGGGGCTTCAGCCCCAAAACCTCCCCATAGGACCAGCCGGTTGTTTCCAAGAAAAAGGCTGCCAACAGATGACAGGCTTCACTTTCTCACAAGGCTGTGGGCCTCTAGCCTTAGAGAGTTCAATCTTCCCCAGAGTCAATACCTGTGGTGGGTTCCTCACTCTGCCTCTCTGCTTCCCTGGGCTGCGTCTCTCCCTGTCTGGATCTGACCAATCCTTCAAAGCCCAACCTAAATGCCACCTTCTCCATGGAGCCTTTTCTCTCTTCCATATAGGGTCCTTCTCCCCAGCATGCTGGGTTTGCACCCACTTTTCTTGGAATGCATTCACTTTTCTGCTGTGATTGTCATTAAATAGTTGACCGTTTTGATTTTTTTTTTTCGTTTTTTTGAGACGGAGTTTTGTTCTTGTTGCCCAGGCTGGAGTGCAATGGCACGATCTCAGCTCACCGCCACCCCCGCCTCCTGGGTTCAAGCGATTCTCCTGCCTCAGCCTCCCAAGTAGCTGGGATTACAGGCATGTGCCACCATGCCTGGCTAATTTTTTTTTTGTGTGTGTGTTTTTAGTAGAGATGGGGTTTCTCCATGTCGGTCAAGCTGGTCCTGAACTCCCAGCCTCAGGTGATCCACCTGCCTCGGCCTCCCAAAGTGCTGGGATTACAGGCGTGAGCCACTGTGCCCAGCTGATAGTTGACCTTTTTGAACCTCAATCACTTCACCTGTAAAACTGATATAATGTCTGCCTTAGAAGTCTGTTGTGAAGGCCGAGTTAAAGCACAGTCTGAGGCATGAAGAATGTTCTTGCACCCGTCAGCCTGATGTTATCACATCACACACACAGCGCTACACATTCATGAACAGATTTCCTCTCTCTGTGTTCAGGCACTTGTCCTTTTACCTTGTATAATAATTATTTGCATGGACTGTAGGCTCCTTTGTGGTAGGAAAAATAGGGTGTAGTGAAAAGAAAAAGGACTTGGAATTAAAAAGTCTGCCCCTCAACCAATGGTGTGAACAAGTGACTTCTCTCTGAGCTTTGGTTTCTTCCTTCCTAACAGAGGGAGTACAATAAAATGTGCCTCACTGTGTCCTCATGTGCATTATCAAAATAAGATAATGGATGCTCAAGGATTTAGAGACTGCCAAATGCTAATCTATGTCTTATCCAATTGTCCTTGCCTGTTTCCCAGAAGCCCAGCACAGCATCTTGCTGGGGACGGGTTGGGGCGTGCGCAGCAAGGATTTGTTAAATGATTAGTGGGCCATTGCATTTACTTCATTTGGTCTTCATAGTTTCCCTCTGAGACAAGGTTTTTTAGTTTTAATTTTTTTTTTTTTTGTAGAGTTGGGGTCTTGCTGTGTTGCCCAGACTGGTTTTGAACTCCTGGCCTCAAATAATCTTCCCGTGTTGGCCTCCCAAGTATTGAGATTACAGGTGTGTGCTATCCTGCCCTGCCCCTCTGAGGTAAGCTTTAATGTCCCCATTTCAAAATGGGCAAACTGAGGTTTGAAGTGGGTAAAGTGCTTCATTTATTCATTTATTCAACAGGTATCTGAATCAGCAGCTACCCTGCATCGATAGGCAGACTCTGGGCATACCAAGATGATTAAGACAATAATCGCTGTCTTCACAGTCCAGAATGAAGGACAGACACATAAAGATAAGTATACTACAAGGTGGATTACGAATTGTAGATAATATTTATTGGGTACTTACTAAGTGCCAGTGAGTGCTGTAAGCTCCTGGTGTGTTTAACAGTCCTCCCCAACCTCTGTTAGCTACATTTCTCGTAGGTTGATTCATAGATAAGACTGAAGCCGGGTGAATGTCTACGGTTTTATAAGTGGCAAGTGGCAGATCCAGGATGAATACCCAGTTGATGGGTATTAGTGCCAGAGGTCCCACTTGGCCATCAGGTTCTACCCAAGGTAGCACGTGGGGCCCTAAGAGGGAGGGCCCTAACTCAGTCTGGCATTCACAGTGTTGCCTGAAGAACTGAAGAATCAGCTAGGCAGGGAAGGTGAGTGGGGGAAGGCAGGGCCATCGCAGGGGAGGGCCAGACGTGGGAGCCGCCTCCCGGAAATCTACACAGCATCCAGGCCACACAGGGCCTGGAGCGTGTGAGGAAGCTGCGGAAGCAGGCAGGACCCAGCCTCAAAAGGAAAGTGGTTCGGATTCCAGAGGCAGCTGGAAGTTTGAAGGGTTTTACGCAGAGGAGAGACTTGGCCAGATTTTTAGAAAGACCGCTGGGGAGCTGGGTGAAAGCGGATGGAAGGACAGAGACAAGCGCTGAGGCAGTGAGTGGGGAGGATCCCGATGACGGTAATTCGGAGGTTAAGTAAAGGGCAGGGAGCAATTTTGGAGGACACCTAGTTTCTGCTCCTAATCAGGGGTGCTGGGGTGATCTGATGAGGTCAGTTTTGGATGCCAACTCAAACCTAGTCCGTGCCCTTTTGCCTCTGGCGCTGCCAGTGATGACGCCCGCGGGTCACCGGGGAACTGAGCACGCAGCCTCCAACCCCACCCCTCCGGCGGCGGCGACGTGCAGTGCACCACCCTGGACACCAGGGGACGTTCCCGCACAGGCTCGGGGCGCTCTGGCCCAGCCCATCTCAGTGGTCGCGGAAGGTGACGTGGACACGGAAGTGGTCGTCGTCGCGGCACCGGTGAGAGCCAGGCGCGGGGCTCGGAGTGCGGTCGGCGGGCGGACAGGTGGAGGTGGTCTCCCGGAGGCGGTCCCGCACCGGCGGCGACGGAGGGCTCAGGCGTTGTCGTTTGGGTGGGGGCCGGCTGAACTGACAAGCGGCATTTCAGCTCCTTTCCCCTGCCAATCGGAACCCCGGAGCCGGGGCCCGCTCAGCCAGCATCACCATGACCAAGGCTGGTAGCAAGGGCGGGAACCTCCGCGACAAGCTGGACGGTAACGAACTGGACCTGAGCCTCAGCGACCTGAATGAAGTCCCGGTGAAGGAACTGGTTAGTATCGTCCCGCGAGGCCTAGGCGCCCACCTTCGCCAAGCGCTGGCCCCTCCGTGGGCCGCCCACTTTCCCAAGCATCAGTTTCCTCTTCTTTAAAAAGAAGCGGGGTGGTGGGACTAAGTCCCCTGGGAGGCCGTGTCCAGCCCAAGGTTCTTCCCAGGATGTACACGTGTCACTTTGGCGCAGTTCCAGAGGATAGGGAAGATCTGCTTCTCTGGCCCTAGGCTTTTTACAGGCCAAGAAGCGAATCTGTCACCTTTTGGGGGCTTTCACAGCGCCCAACTCATGCCCGACCCAGAGTAGGAGCCCACGGAGCAGTTACTGGATAGATTCAAGAATGAATGAGTGACTCGTTCGGAGAGAGTAGGCCTCCTGGTAGACATGGGTGTGGCCCAGAACCTGGCTTTTCTAGGAAGCTGGCAGTTCCAGCTGGCTGCCCAATCCCTGAGGCTGCCTACCTCGAAGAAAGTGAACTCTCCCTGCTTGGCTGGTAAAGTCTCATCCCAATTCCGCTGAAACTGGTGGGAGTCCCCATCGCTCCCCTCCCACATCCTTCTCCTGTAAACTGAGGCTTAAGGCCCCAGGGAGATTAGGCATCTAGTTTTGTCAACGTGGAGCTAGTTCCCACATCCCTGCTTTTCCTACTCCCGCCAACGCCCTGCTAGCCTCTCTTTGGGTGACCCACACTTTGCTTTTTGCCGTTGATAAATTACATTTGCCTTGGGCGCTGGGCCCAGTCTTTCTTCCACTGTGGACTGGTATTATGGTGGTTAGAACCGGGTTCCCAGCCCCCCCCCATCTCCATTGCTTAATAGCTAAGTGCCCTTGGCAAGCGAGTTAGCCTTTATACCTAGATCTCCTCATTTATACAATGGTAATAATAGTTTCTATCTCATGCTTATTGTGAGATTAAATACCATTGTAATGAAAAATGCTCGGAAGGTAGCAAATACTGATACTTGTAGCTGTTATTGTGTTGTTTTTCCCACTGTAGTATTCAAAACTTTTGTAGGTGGTCACACTTGACTCTTAGGACTTTGTGACAGAAAGTGCAGGTTGCCAGAGGACCCTTAATTGAATATTTGCCTCCTTTTCTGCCCCAGGAAGATGCCCATCCTTATTTCACCCAGCCCTAGGCCTGCTCTCTGAAACCATTTACTCCAGGCATCTGAACAGTGCAGCATTAACCTCAGGGAGAAAGTTTTGCTGAGCCTGTCAAGCCTGGACACCATGGGAAAATAAAGATGGGCTGTGAGGGCCTTGTTTTTTTTAACTTCGTTATTCACTCCGCTACTTACTTGATCAGTCAGGATTCAGGGAACATTATGGGTATTGAGTACCTGCTCTTAGGAAGGCCCTGAACTGGGGAATATGGAAATTGAGAAGCTTTATTAGACACATTCCGTGCCCTGAAACCTGATAAGAGGGACACAGGGTAATATTTATTTTTAAAATGCTAGGAATAATGTCTAAGAATCTAAATTTTGCTTTTCTTTTTTTTTTCTTTTTTAACTATGTTTGATTTCGCTGTGAAGGATTCTAGAGACAGGGTCTCAGTGTGTTGCCCAAGCTGGCCTCAAACTCCTGGGCTCAAATGATCCTTCTGTCTCAGCTTTCTGAGTAGCTGAGACTATGAAACTACAGGTGTGAGTCCCTGTGCCTCGCCTGAGGTTTCCTTTCTTGGATGTTCTACAGCTACATCCCTTCTCTTTGTATTCTTCCTTAGATCAGAGTTGACTGGCTCATTTTTCCTCTTATTCCCAGCCATGTTATTCTTTACTGCAGTTTTAAAAAGGCCTTTCCTAATTGTGGGAACTTTCTCTGGAAAATGCTTCATTAACAGATGTCACTGAATCGTTCCAGGTGTTGGTCTGACAGGTTTTTCTCATTCTCTTTTTCCTAGGCTGCCCTTCCAAAGGCCACCATCCTGGATCTGTCTTGTAATAAACTGACGACTCTACCGGTAAGATTGGCAAGCAGCCATGACTCCTTCTGGTATCTTGGATGCATCTCCTTCCTGTTTTGGGGGTGGACGGGGGTTGTGAGGGTGTCATCAGGCATAATTTCAGGATAGGCCTGCAGGTAGGCTATAGCTAAATCTGAGTGTGTAGGGGAAGCACAGTGAAGTGGGGTGGTTAGTCTCAGTGGGAACAGAATTGAGGTGGAGGCCTCACTCTTCAGAACAGTGGTAAAGTCAGGCCACAGAAAACTAAAGTCAACAGGATGCTGAGTAACTTACTGGGCTCATCTTTTTTCTACATTATTGTATTCCTCCAAATAATAGTTTACCTCCCTACTGCACAGAGGGTGCTAGAGGCTGTTCTGTAACTTGCTCTGCATTCCAGGGAGAAAGCTGTGGACAGCCTCCTTGTGCTTCTTTTGATGGGGAGCAAGAGAGAATGTGATCTTATGGGACTACCTTATCATTATTCTCCCAGAGGACTTGAATTACTCGAGATTTGCTTAGTCTGGCTAGCACATTCAATCGATGAGCAAATCCTTTTGATTCTTCTTGCACAGTGTCTGCTAGTTCTCTTTCTGCTTCACCTGTAGACAGTGGATTCATTCAGCCCCTCAGCCTCTCCTCTGTAGCACTGCTCCTGCACGGTCAGGCCTCAGTGTGTCGTCGTTGCCTCTTCCACCCATCACTCTGGCCGTGCCACTCCTTGCTGTACTTCAGGGTAACTTTCTATTTGGCCCTAGCTCTGGCTCAGCGATCAAGTTCAGAAGTTGGCAATGCCTTCATTGGATCATTAGTCCATTCACCTCTCAGTATTGTGCTAGGCCTTGCTCATTGTCTATAGTATCTTTCCACAGCTCATCAAAAACTGTTTCTAACAATCAAAAAACGTCTGAGATCCCACTTCTTCCAGTGGAAGATCCCCATACTTCCAGGAAGTATTTTATGTTGAATGAAAGAATATATTGGGAGCTCTGCTTCATGTCTATAACCTCAGCAACTCCGGGTGCTGAGGTGGGAGAATCACTTAGCCCAGGAGTTCGAGACCAGCTTGGGCAACATAGCAAAACCCCACCTCTAAAAAAATAAAAGCAGGGTGGCAGTTCCTTGCAGCCCCACTCCTTCTGTACACTTTGCTAGATGGTCATTCAGCCAAGTGCACTTTGCAATCTGAGTTTGTTCTGTTCTCTGTACTGACCACTTGGCATTTCACCCTGCATTGCAGATCCGCTGGCATTTCCAAGTCCCTAGAAAGCATGAATAGTGCCTCATTAGCTGAAGCTGTACCGTCAGTTTCAGATGAGTGCTTCCCAAAGGTTTAATATCAGGCGGATGTTTTGACCTGTGCTGAGAAAGAGCCAGGACATGGGTAGGATGGGCCCCAGCCAGTTCAGTTAGTCACAGAATGTCCATTGAGCACCTATGTTAAGTACTATGCTAGGCGCTGCAAGTAACAAGAATCAGACTGAGTACTCCAGGAGTGCCTAATCTTTTTAAGAAAATGGACAGGCATGCTGTTTGGACAGATCTTTTGAAAGGTGAGCATAGGGTGCTGTGGAAGGACAGAAGGGGTCCCACACCACTCCAGGAGCAGTATGGAGGGTGGGCTGGAGCAAGAACTGAGGATGAAGGGATAGGATGAAGGAATAGTGTTTTGTGCCTACTTTGTGCTAAACCTTTTTCCATACTCTTCTTGGCAATTATCACCAGGAGTGGCGGGTGTTCTCTCCTAGTTTTATTTGAGGAAGAACAGCTACTAACAGTAGAATCTGGATCTTTTCAGGGATACCTCTGACTTGAAGGCTTCCAGACTGTTAGGCCAAAGTGTGTGAGCCCAAGGCTTAGATGAGGGTGTCCAATGCTATGGCTTCCCTGGGCTACATGGGAAGAAGAAGCATTGTCTTGGGTCCCACATAAAATACACTGATGAGCTGAAAAAAGAAAAAAAACATAATGTTTTAAGAAAGGTTACAAATTTGTGTTGGGCCACATTCAAAGCTGTCATGGCCCACGTGTTGGACAAGCTTAGCTTAGATGTTCTCTCTTTGGATCCTAGTCGGATTTCTGTGGCCTCACACACCTGGTGAAGCTAGACCTGAGTAAGAACAAGCTGCAGCAGCTGCCAGCAGACTTCGGCCGCCTGGTCAACCTCCAGCACCTGGATCTCCTCAACAACAGGCTGGTCACCTTGCCTGTCAGCTTTGCTCGGCTCAAGGTAACAGTTCATGAACCAGTGTTTCATGGCCAGGTGTGGCAGAGAACTCAGGGACTCTGGTGCACGGCCCTGAGAAAGGCCGGCAGAAATACCCCCTTGTTGGTCCTGCCTCAGATGGCTCTTCCTATAGGTGGAACACAGAGGGGCATTCTTCCTGCTCATTTTGTTCCACCCTGAGGGACTGTGTGTGTGAACTTGGGCTTAACGAGCCTCTTTGTCCATTGCCCATCTCTCTAGAACCTGAAGTGGCTGGACTTGAAGGATAACCCCCTGGATCCTGTCCTGGCCAAGGTGGCAGGTGACTGCCTGGATGAGAAGCAGTGTAAGCAGTGTGCAAACAAGGTGAGCACAAAGCTCGTGGGGGCTCCTCACGCTCTCCCCTGGGACTTCTCTGCCTGTTTTTCCCTCCTAGGGCACCTGGAGCTTTGTGTAGAGTTAAGCACTCAGGTCCCAGTGAAATATGTCCACTATGATTCTGTCAAGCAGAGACCTTGTTTCTGCGTTTACTTTAATTTTTTGTTTTTTATTTGTTTTGAGAGAGAGTTGTTCTGTTGCCCTGTTGGAGTGCAGTGGCACAATCTCAGCTCACTGCAGTCTCTGTCTCCTGGGTTCAAGCAGTTCTCCTGCTTCAGCCTCCCGAGTAACTGGGATTACAGACGCCTGCTACCATGTCCAGCTAATTTTTGTGTTTTTTAGTAGAGACGGGATTTCGCCATGTTGGCCAGGCTGGTCTTGAACTCCCAACCTCAAATGATCCGTCCACCTTGGCCTTCCAAAGTGCTGAGATTACAGGCATGAGCCACGCCCAGCCTGCATTTACTTTACAAGTAGCAGAACAAGATTGCCTTCTGTTTTACTGTAGTACTTCCTCTCTCAAGAAGCCAGGACCTTGCATGATGCAACATGACACTGTGTGGACAGTTGTTTTGTTTGTTTAATTTTTTTTACCACATCATTGTACTCAGGACAGTTGTTTTAACAGTACCAGAGGGTTAGGGGCTGTGGCCTTTCTGAGGCACAGTCACAGGAATGTTGATCATAAAAGTGCTAATAAAGGTGTTACAGCTGGAAGTTTCTATTTGTAAGCAGACACATTCTGGGCAGACCTGGTGTTGGGTTCCAGTTGAGTCATCTGACATAGGGGTGAGGAGCTGAAGGCAGCATGCAAGGCAGCCATTGTCTGTGGCCACTAACCTTGAAGGTGCCAGACCCTGCCTATTAAAAACACCATTATACCCATTTCTTAATAACTCCAGCTATAGACATTTTTTCCCTCCAGCTTTGGAACAGATTGCTGCTGCTTCGGCTGTGCACCAGATGAATGACTTGGCTATATTTAAGGTGCATATTGAACAAAAAACACTTAACTTTAAATACTAGAATTAATGTAAGTTACATGTGTGAATGATGAGTCTCTACTGTTTCAAGTAGAGAGTAAGATGCTTCTTATCATTAGCTCAGGGCTTCTTATATAATCTCATCATCTGTATTATCTCTTGCTACAAGAAATCAAGCAGAAAGTTAACACAACCAAGTAGCTAAGGCAAGAGTTTTCCCTTAGATGAGAACAGTGTAAGTGAGCAATGAAATCCCCTTTTGAAAGCTGGGTGCTGGCTGGGCACAGTGGCTCACGCCTATAATCCCAACACTGGGAGGCCAAGGAGGGCCGATCACGAGGTCAGGAGTTCGAGACTAGCCTGGCCACCATGGTGAAACCCCGTCTCTACTACAAATACGAGAATTAGCTGGGCATGCTGGTGGGTGCCTGTAATCATAGCTACTTGGGAGGCTGAGGCAGAATCGCTTGAACCCAGGAGGTGCAGGTTGTGGTCAGCCGAGACTGCACTGTTGCACTCCAGCCTAAGTGACAGAGCAAGACTCCATCTCAAAAAAAAAAAAAAAAAGAAAGAAAGGAAGAAAGCTGGATGTTGTAGGAGTGATGTCCGCCCTGAAGGCCAACAGTAGCTACCATTGAGGACTCTTCCCTTGTCCTGGATGCTTTCCATGCACTATCTCACAATCCTCAGAGCCCCAAGGAGTTGGCATTACTTTCATTTCTCTGACACAAGAAACCCTCAGTATATACACACCTTTCATCCATCCATCCATCCATTCATCCATGCATTCAGTAGATAATATGTGGAACCATAGGAAATTGATGATATTCTACAGTTTTTGACATACAAAAATCATTTTTATCGAGCACAAAGGCCTTCTGTATTTGCATATGTCGTTCACACAAAGCTCCAGGCTATGCAGTGGATGTGCTAACTAAAGCCATGGTCCCTGGCACTGCTGTCCTAGAGCTGCAGCACACCTTTAGGCTTTGTAGGGAAATGGCCTGGGTCAGTCAGAATCAGGTCACTTGTCTGCAGGAATTAGTTTAGGTCTTATCAGCACTGACCAGGTATGACTTAAACCCTGGTGGGTCTATGGGTTAGTCTTAATCAGCTTGGTACATAATAAAGCACCTTTTAAAAATGATTTGTTCAATGTATTCATTGAGTGCTTACTGTATGCTGTGAGCTCAGATTAGCTAGACAAAAATTTACCCTCCAGGAGCTCACAGACTCTAGACTAGGAGACTGTGTCCCATTTCTGCATTGCTTGTATTTTCAGATAATTAACTTTTCTTTTCTTTTGAGATGTGGTCTTGCTCTTGTCATCCAAGCTGGAGAGCATGGCGCCATCTCAGTTCACTGCAACCTCCACCTCCTGGGTTCAAGCAATTCTCCCACTTCAGCTTTCCGAGTAGCTGGGATTGCAGGGGCGTGCCACCAGGCCTGGCTAATTTTTGCACTTTTAGTAGAGACAGGGTTTCACCATGTTGGTCAGGCTGGTCGCAAACTCCTGACCTCAGGTGATCCACCCACCTTAATCCTCTTCCTCAGCCAACACCCTAGATTCTCACTTTTCACACTCTCCTTGCATCATGGCAACAGGACCCTTGACTTCCCTACTTCCTGAGTGCCCTGAGCGCTAACACTTGTTCCAGACCTGATTTCTTTCTTATTTTTTTTCTTTGAGACAGAATCTTACTCTATTGTTCAAGAGATTCTCCTTCCTCAGCCTCCTGAGTAGCTGGGATTATAGGTGCATACCACCATGCCCAGCTAATTTTTGTATTTTTTTTTTTTTTTTGAGAGGGAGTTTCGCTCTTTTTACCCAGGCTGGAGTGCAATGGCGCGATCTCGGCTCACCGCAACCTCCGCCTCCTGGGTTCAGGCAATTCTCCTGCCTCAGCCTCCTGAGTAGCTGGGATTACAGGCACGCGCCACCATGCCCAGCTAATGTTTTGTATTTTTAATAGAGACGGGGTTTCACCATGCTGACCAGGATGGTCTCGATCTCTTGACCTCGTGATTCACCCGCCTCGGCCTCCCAAAGTGCTGGGATTACAGGCTTGAGCCACCGCGCCCGGCCTGTATTTTTTTTTAGTAAAGATGGGGTTTCACCATATTGGCCAGGCTAGTCTCGAACTAGTGATCCGCCCCCCTTGGCCTCCCAAAGTGCTGGGATTACAGGCATGAGCTACTGCGCCTGGCCCAAACCAGGCTCTTGAAAGATCCTTTAGCTGGTTTGCTCCTTAACACTTCTTATGATGGGTGTGTGCTTGTCTGGGGGTATGCGTGTCTGGAGTTTCCTAGCATATTCAGATGTAATTATTAAGTGCAGTAGTGAAACAAGGCCCTTTTGCTAATAGTCTAGGTTTTCTTCTTTTTTCTTACTGTGTGGTAAAGAAAATAAGCAGCAGTACTTATTGAGCACATACAGTGCCAGGGATTATACAAGGCAGCCAATACAAGTTACGTGATTTATTCTCCACAGCACTTGCTAGAAGTATATCTTATCTCTGTTTTCCAGAGCAGAAAATCGGCTCAGAAAGGTTAAGTCACTTGCCAAGGTTATACAATAAAGGGTAGTCAGGATTGCGTTGGACCCCAAGCTTATACTCTGTCCCCTACAGCCAAAGAATCCCAGCTTCAAAAAAAGATAAAAAAGGTCCTTAACCTCTTCCACCCACCATAGCGAGAATCTTTGTGGCTGTATGGTCAGAGGTCATCCGTGAACAAGTTGATGCAGATCTGGGGACCTCAGAGTGCTGAGTACAAGTGTGCTGTGTGTAGGCCTCTCTCTCTTGGACCTTTCCTCTGCATGCAGTGAGAGTGCGTGGAACAAGCTCTGCCCTAGGAATGCAGGGGACTGTGCTCAGGTCTTAGTTGTGCTGCTTTTTGGCCGTGTGCGGTGGACAAATCACCATATGAGTCTTGGTTTTCTTCCTTTTCAAATGGGAATTCAATCAGCCATTCATCATATATGTGTTGAATGCCTGCGATTAGCTAAACTCTGTGCTAGCCATGCTCCTGTGGGTTACCTACCAACCAGACAGCCTTTCCTGCCATTAAGGAATCTGCCATCTTATGACCAAGACAGATAGGTAGCAAGTGGTTACAGTGTCCTGTGTTGAATTCCAAAGGAGTAGGTGGAGGGGGATTTGGTGGGGGCAGTCAGGAAAGCATGTTGGGGGAAATGCTGACCCCACGTTGTTGCTGAGGATCCTGTGGAATCATGCGTGTGAGACTGAGTGTAAGTGGCAGAACTTCTTACAGATCCGAGCTGGCGTTGTGTTTCCCGTTTTTCTGACAGTTAATGACCTGGGCTCATATCACTCTTCTGCGACTAAGGTGGGCACAGCAATTTTAGGATACAAAGGTAGAATTAACTCCAGTAGTTTGGTGGTGGTGGTGGTTTTGAGACAGGGTCTCATTCTTCACCCAGGCTGGAGTGCCGTGACGTGACCACAGCTCACTGCAGCCTTGATCTTCTGGGTTCAAGTGATCCTCCCTCCTCAGCCTCCTAAGTAGCTCAGGCTACAGGCATGTGCCACTGTGCCTGGCAAATTTTTTATATTTTTCTGTAGAGATGGGATTTCATTACATTGCCCAGGCTGGTCTTGAATTCCTGAGCTCAAGCAGTCCTCCCACCTTAGCCTCCCAAAGTGCTGGAGTAACAGGCATGAGCCACCACGTCCAGCCTAACGACATTGCTGCCATGATAATCTGGGAGCTTGAAAATGGTCTATTTTTTGAGACTTCCCTATGCAAATGTGACTGAAAAGTACTACTTTCCTCCTTTCCCTTTGCAGGTGTTACAGCACATGAAGGCTGTGCAGGCGGATCAGGAGCGGGAGAGGCAGCGGCGGCTAGAAGTAGAACGTGGTAAGTGGCTGTCCCTCTTGTAGTTACCTTCCAGGTCCTCATCCCTGCCAGTGGATTCTCATGCTTCTGGAGCTGGAATCCAGTAGAAGAGTCATGAAGAACAGTTGCTGGGCGGTGGGGGGACAGCATTGTGGTAGATGGTATCGTCTTTATATGATGAATCTCTCTCCAGTCCTGGCTTCTCTGCTGAGCTTTAGGGCCAGTCAGCTGCGCATATTTCATCTCTGCTTGGAGGGCTGATAGGCATTCCGGTGAAACGTGGCTAAAGCAGATTCCTGATTGCGCTTCAGTCCCTCCCAGTGTTGCCTGTAGTAGGAGATCACTTTTCCTGTAGTTACTCAAGCCAGAAGTAGGAAAAGATGTTAAGACTCCATTTTTTTTCTGTGATTCCCATATCCAGTCTGTCAGCAAGTCCCATATGGGACTGTTTCTCCACCTCCAGTGCCATCTCTAACCAGCCACCATTCTGGGACCACCACAGCACCTTCCAAAATGTCTCCATGACGGTGCCGTCTCCTTCAACTCATTGTCTTCACAACAGTCTGGGAGACCTTTTTAAAACATAAATAATTATGCTGCTACTTTCTTAAAACAAGTGGCATCCCACTGAACTTAGAATAAAATCATACTCACTGACAAGGCCAGTAAACCCACCCTGGCCCTAGCTTGTTTGCCTGCTCTCCGCCAGCCTTGTTTCACACACGAGTGAGTCGTGCCGTCAACTTCAGTTTGAGTACACCAGCTGCAGTCTCAGGGGCTTTGCTGGGTTTCATTGTCCCTTAGTCCCTACCTGCTGGCCTCATAACCCCACGTCTGCTCAAGCGTTGCCTTAGGTTAACTGTAATGCTTTTAGACCACCGGACGAGAGTAACCGTCCTGCTGTCACTCTCATACCCTCTGCTAGTTACTTTCTTTCTTTTTTTTAGTTATTGTTTGAGATGGAGTCTCACTCTGTCGCCCCAGCTGGAGTGCGGTGGTGCAGTCTCAGGTCACTGCAACCTCTACCTCCTGCGTTTAAGCCATTGTCCTGCCTCAGCCTCCTGAGTAGCTGGGACGGCAGGTGCCCCTCTGCTAGTTTCTTTATGGCACAGATCACTGTCATCTTTACATTCACTTGTTTATTGTGTGTCTCCTCTAGAAAGTAAATGAGAGAGACACTGGAACGTGGCCTGTTTTCTCCACTGCTGCATCTCAAACACTTAGAATAACCCCTGCACATAGTAGGTGCTCTGTTGACTGGCTGGCTGATTTCTGAGCCCCTCACTGGAGGACTACTGTGGTTCAAGAAGGGATGTGTACAGTACTGATTACAGGCAGTCCCTGAGGTCATGATGCCCAGATCCCTTATGTGGCATGGCCACTGTGGCAAGACATGGCTGTGTTTCCTCTGACCCCTGCTGCCTTCACCTCCCAGTGGCCCATCTTCCCTAGAGGCTGGGTGGTGTGTGTTCTTGGCATTCCTGGTGCCCAGCTGGAACTTGGAGCTTGTTTCTACATGGAGAAGCAGTGGAAAGCTACAGTCTTACAGTACTGCTATTCAGCAACATTATGGCTGAGATAGGCTATTAAACCCTAAAAGGACATTTAACCATCATTTGTGGCATTCTGGCTTTAGAAAAATATACTTCAGACTTCCAAATAGCTAATTTGGAAATGCATTTTTAGAACCCAATAATTTGGAGGTTGTAATTTGGAAGTTTGTAAACATGCTTGAACTGCTGAGTAAATCTGAATGTGTACCTGTGTTCAGTTCTTAGATTCATGAGTTCAAGTCTAGAGGCTACTCTGACAAACTGTTAGGCTTATTTGTTTTTTAAGAATAGTCAAGTGCAGGCTGGTCCGAGTGCAGTGGTGTTTACAACTAATTGATCACAACCAGTTAGAGATTTCCTTCTTCCTTCTCCACTCCTACTCCTTCAGTTGACTAGCCTTAAAAAAACACAGCAAAACAAACCAGTCTGTGCAATAGTAAGAAAGTAGACTCACTTTTTTAGAACAACGTTGCCATTGTTACTTTTTTTTTTCTTTTCTATTTTTTGAGGCAGTCTCACTCTGTCACCCAGGCTGGAGTGCAATGGCACAATTACCATTCATTGCAACTTCCACCTCCTGAGTTCAGTCAGTCCTCCCACCTCAGCCTCCCAGGTAGCTGGGACTATAGGCATGTTCCAGCACATCTGGCTAATTGTTTCATTTTTTGTAGAGACAGTCTTGCTATGTTGCCCAGGCTAGTCTGGAACTCCTGACCTCAAGTGATACTCCCAACTTCACCTCCCAAAGTGTTAGGGTTATAGGCATGAGCTACTGCTTCTGACCTCATTGTTTCTAACCCTAAACTGGAGTGTTCATTTTCTCTTCTCATTGTCCCCCCATGCCACATTTATTTCTGAAGCTTGGGAAGATAGGAGACCTATAGAAAACTGCCATGTTTTTTCTCTTCATAGCTGAGTTCTAGAAGGCTATCAGTTGCTATCTGAGTTCTGAGTTGGTACCTAATTCTAGAGGAGCACCACTTATCCTCTATGCCTTGCTTAGGTCCTCCTTGTTATTTTACCCTAATTTCTCTGCTGCTTGAGGATAGGAACCTCGTAATCAGAATCCATTCAGCAAACCCTGAGAGCAGCTTCTTTTAGGGAGGGCTACTTCCAGGAGCAGAAGGATGGCTGTTTCCTTTGAATATTTCTTATGTGATCCATGGCACCAGGGTAAAGGTGGCAGAATCTATACTTTTAATCACTTGGGAAAGCAAACTGCTGGAGTGTTTGTGGGAGAGAAGTCAAGTGTTGGTGTGTTTTGTTGCAGAGGCAGAGAAGAAGCGTGAGGCCAAGCAGCGAGCTAAGGAAGCCCAGGAGCGGGAACTGCGGAAGCGGGAGAAGGCAGAAGAGAAGGAGCGCCGGAGAAAGGAGTACGACGCCCTCAAAGCAGCCAAGCGGGAGCAGGAGAAGAAACCTAAGAAGGAAGCGAATCAGGCCCCAAGTAAGTTTGCTGCCTGTCGTAAGGTTCCAGCAGGGGTGCAGTGGAAACGCTCATGTTTCCCGGCATAGACGACTGAGTGAGCAGCCCTGCACACCTTAGTGAGATAAATTACACTAAAGCCTGGGAGTGGATGGGAGGGTTTGGTTACAGGGAATGGGGGACTCTCCTATAGGGAGCTAGTGTCCAGCTGGTTTGTTTCCCTAGCGCCCACATACTTCTGTTCTGGTTAGATGTGTCTTGCAGCATTCCTGGAATAGAGTCTTACTTTTTGTAGAGGTGAGGTTCTAAAACCATTGAGATATGCAAAGATCAGAAATGGTCAAGTTTACTCTTAAAAGGCCCTCACAGCCAGGTTCCGTGGCTCAGGCCTTTAATCCCAGTGTTTTGGGAGGCTAAGGTGGGAAGAGGTCACTTGCACCCAAGACCAGCCTGGGCAACATAGAGAGACCCTGTCTCTACATAAGTTTTTTAAAAATTAGCCAAGTGTAGTGGCACACAGCTGTGGTTCCAGTTACTTGGGAGGCTGAAGCAGGAGGATCATTCAAGACTAGCCTGGGCAACAGTGAGACCCCTCTCTGATTGAACACTGAAGAAATCATTTGGCCTGCATTCAGGGAGCCACATTGTACAGAAAACGCATTTCTGTGTTTCACCTGAATATGTGTAGTTGAATTTCATTAGTGACGTGGCTCCGTGTGCTGCGGAGGATCGGATGCCCACTGGGTTAAAAGGGACCCCTAAGGGAGAGGCAGGTGAGGGAAGGGGCTCAGCACAGAAAGCGGAGGCCTGTGGCCATGCCCCTGCTCACCCTTGTCTGGAGCAGGACAGGGCCACAGGCCTCCATCCTCCTGATCGAACTGGTTTTTAATTTCCTTGTTGAAAATGAAGATCATACCTACTTACAGGGTAGTAATAAGGATTAAATGAGGAAACAGGATCATGCAGTTCCTGGCATTGTGGATGTTCAGTTGAGTTTTTAAAAATTTTGTCTAAAAATCTCAAAACCGATTTTTTTCTAATTAAAAATGTATGTTCATTGCAAAGAATTTAGAAAAGATATCTATATAGATACATATATCAGAAAATGGCAGTCACCTGTACTCTCCCATTCCTGTCAGTCATCACTGCTTACAATATGGCGTATTACCTTTTGGGCTTTTTTATATACACATTATATCATAATAATGACAATAATGATAAATCCTGACCCTTTTTCCTCAAGTGGACAGTACTCTGTCAGCGCTGGATGCCTCCTGATAAGCCCCTCTCTCTGTGATCCCAAGGAGCATGGATCACCGTGTTACCAAGAACTTAGGACCCTGGGGGCTGTGAGCGACATGAGACATGCAGAATGAGTCCCAGTTTCAAATGTACCCCCTTGAGAGCCAAGGGAAAAGGTGTTTCTGTTTTGGTCTCTGGAGACAGTTTTTCTCTTCAGGGCCTGGGGAGTTTTTGCTTGAGAAAGGGGTGTAGGTGGATCTGCATGGAGGAGACTAGCAGAGATTGGCATAGAGCGGGTCTAACTGACAGAACTTGTTTTGTCTACTGTGACTGTTCCTCCAGAATCTAAGTCCGGCTCCCGACCTCGCAAGCCACCACCCCGGAAGCACACTCGTTCCTGGGCTGTGCTGAAGCTGCTGCTGCTGCTGTTGCTATTTTGTGTGGCAGGAGGGCTGGTTGCTTGTCGGGTGACAGAGCTGCAGCAGCAGCCCCTCTGCACCAGTGTGAACACCATCTATGACAATGCGGTCCAGGGTCTACGCCGCCACGAGATCCTCCAGTGGGTCCTCCAGACCGACTCTCAGCAGTGAGCTTGTCCCCAGCACCTGCTGCCTCCCAACCTTGGAGCTTGGATTCCTATGGAATTGGGTTCTGCTGGACACAACCTCTTTTTAGCATCAGACCTACCTGCCATCATCAAATGGCTGCAGATTGGTACATGAGACCTCCTCTTTGTAGGACTTCTTCATTCCTTAGTCAGGGTTCCCTGGTGGAATGAGGAGAAATGGGAGGTGGTGGGGGGGGCAGTTACCTGCATGCCTAAAGGAGTAGGCTTGGGGGTGGGGAGAGAGAAAACATAGCCTTTTCTAGTTGTTTTACAAAGCTGTGTAAAGGCAAGGCTCGTTTCTACTAAATGGTCAGCTGTCACTACATTTATACTTTTGTATGTCACAAACCCTTTCTTTCATTCCTCCCTGGGCAATCAGGGCAGATCAGAAGTTTTTGGGGACTAGGACACCACACTCAGTAAATCCAATCTAAATGGTGGGGAGGGGTATTCCTGTTTTCTTTAGGACCTCAGAGATGTAAGCATTTTAGCCATACAAAATATCTGGCTGTGAAAGGGACTTCATGGCCATCCAGTCCAATATAACACACTTGCAGGCAGAGAAACTGAGGCCTTCCATGACTTGCCTAGTCTCCCAGCTAGTTTGAGGTAAAACTGGATTCCCACTCTGACATTCTTTCTTTCCATCATTTTCCGTCCTTTGTAATGTCCTGAGAGACTAGAACTCACACCAGAATTATTTCTCAGGTGGAGCATAGCATCTTTCATAGTAGACAGATTTCATGACTCAGACATAGAAATCTCTTGCCATCATCAGGTCTTAGGCAGCTCCTGTGGAGTCCTGCCCAACTTATGTGGCTTCCATAAAATGGCAACAGTCCAGGCTCCTTGCCTCAATTTTAGAGCATTAACTCCCTAATTGCCAGTAAGCAAGGAGGTGGATCTCTGCACATCTACACTGTCTGTGACAGCTCTAGTTGTACTTGGTGTGACTAAATACCTCAAAGGCATCCTGCTTTTGCAGGTTTTGAAGTATCAGCTTCATAGGACACTGAGGTTTAGAATTGTTTGATTCTAGACCATAAATGAAGGGAATAAATGGAAACAGAGGAAATGTTTGATTCTAGACCATAAATGAAGTGAGTAAATGGAAACAGAGGAAATGAAGGGAAACAAGGAGCATCATGGAGCTGAAACGTGGTGCATCACCCAGTGACTAGCACAAACAAGGATCGCACTGTCCATTCTCTTGTCTGCTAGATTAAGTATTTTCTTGCCTCCTTTGCTTCATCTTTTCACAACAGCCAGATGGAGGGATCAGAAATGACTGTGTCATGGTGCTCATTCACTGAAGACTCCCAGTTGCAAGCTCCTTGCCTCCCCCGGAGGGAGCAAGAAGCCGTCATAGTTCAGAGACAGAGAGGGCAGGGTCCAGCCTTCTAGCCCTAGTGACCTGTTCGGATGGGACTGCCACTCATGACCATCCTGGTACTGGAAGAAAGGACTTTGTTAATCTTCTCCCCCATAGCTCTGCTGCGTAGGTCTACATCATACTCAGAATCACTACACATTCCCTTAGTCTTCCTTCGAGCTCCAGAGCCGTTGGTACAAATGCTTTATTGAAACTAAATACGTAATACATACAATGAGATAAGACAACATAGAAGTCCGCATAGTTATATCCTGTTCCTTGGCCGGTTGAGGCAGCTCAGTGGCTGAGCCCCGTCAAGCCAATCCGCAGCTTCACTCACGACTTCGAGATTTGATGCTAATTCTTTTGGATTTCTTATTAAATACGTGTCTGAGTGGACTGTCTTTGTTCCTTTGTGTTTTGAGGGCTGGCTGGGTAGGAGTGGGGGTGGTTTGTCTGTGGCAGTTAATTTTTGCCAGCAGAGGAACATAAAATGCCGAAGGTAGGTGGCAGTATTTCAGTCTCTGCCCCAGTTGATGGGCAGAGAGACTGGGCCTCACCTAGGCTTGTGCTCCAGGTGCTGCCAGTCTCTTCACTGCAGTCAGACTCTGAGGTTGGGGAGGTGGAAGTCTCCAGCTTTTCATCCTCATCCCTGAAGGCTAGAATTAGTCAGCACTATCTAAAGAGAGATCTGGCTGTAAAGCAGTCATCTGAAGGTAGATACGCCTGGATAGCTCTGGTCCAACACGGCGAGAGGTGGATGTCACACCTTCTCCACGGCGCACCTGTATGTCTGCAAGCAGATTCTGGCGTTCTTGCTCCGAAAAACACTGCCGATAAGCCTGGAAGTGGTAGATGACCTCTTAATATGGTATCGTCCATGGTGATCCCTTCTCCACGAGCATGGAGGGTGCTACACTTGGCTTGGGGCATGAGAACCTGTCCTTCCTCCCTGAGTCAGTGTTAACAACTCTGATCTTAGCAGACCTGCGCTGCTGACCTGTGAGGCTTTCATGGGCCCTCAACACTTGTCCAAGGACATCAGGGGGCCCACAGACCCCACCAGTAATGGGCAGTGACCCCAGAGCCCTGGAGCAGCATACCTGTACCAGAAGCTGTGGGGAGGGATAGGCATCCACAACTGCGCTGGCCATTTCCAGGCTGACTCGGTTCAGCTGCTGAATCTGTCTCCTCCAGACCAGTGAGAGTCCCCTGCCAGCACGGTCCACCTTCACCCCTCCAGCCCAGTCACTCTCCACACAGAAGGAGAACGTAGTTTCATCTCGGAGCTTCCTGCAACAGCACAGTTAGAGAGCTGTAAGTTGCTCCTTACTCTACTATACCTGTTCCCTCAAGTGGAACTGAAAAATTGACCTTGGAAGAGGTGGGCGCCATGTTACAGCCGGCCTATTGTGCCTTTGACAATTTGCTCACTTTGTTCCCAGGTATAGTGCCAGTTGCTGATTTCCTTTAAAAACTATATCTAGTTCATTTTAGTAGAAGAAGAGGTGCCAGATTCTTTTAATATTTGGCAGTCTGGAGTCTTATTTCTGGTTCTTCTAACTGCTAGGAGCTTAGACAAGTCAATCTCTTCAGGCCTCAGTTCCCTCAAGTATAAAATAAGGGACATGGATGGGATTGCCTCTGAGGTCATTTACTCATTTTAAATTCTGACAATGAACACTCCTTGAACTAAGAAAGCTAAATATTTGCTTTCCTAGTGCTTATAACATTGTGATCTGACCTGTAATTAATCCTGGTTACTTGGCCTATGGTAACCTGGCCTATGATATCAACCTGCAGAACAGAACGCTTACACATAAGCAAAAGGAGAATATCTGAAAAGGGGCTGAGCTTGGGGATTCCTCCCAAGAATCCCCAGCATGAGGTTAGCTCCTTCTGCCTCAAGCTTGAGAGAGAATGGGCTGACTGCAGAGATGAGGAGAAAGGGACATTTGCTTTGACTGCAAGAACCATGGTAAAGGACAAGGCCCGGCATGGAGGTTGGACTTGCTGGGGGTGCTCACTTGAAGGGCGTCTCAGCCACAGCCTTTGTGAATGCACATGCGAAGTCAGCCAACTCTTTCCAGCTCCGCACAATTTGAGCCTGGGCTTCCGTGTGTAGCTGCAGATCCACCAATGCCTAGAAACCCAAAAGCAACGATGGACTGGAAGGGTGGAGGGATTAGCTGTAAGTCACTATCCACTGAAGCTATACCCTAGCCCCTTGGCTCCCTGTTTGGCACCTTCTCTCCTACTCAGTGCCTGGGCAGAAAGCAGTATGCAGCAGGCATTTTATTCTCTATCGGTAGCAAATCTCCTTAGGTGACCAGTGAGTACCCAGCCCGGTTCAGGCAACAGGATGTTCTTACCTCTTCCACGTCTACCCTGGATACCATGGACCCTGTGCTGGCCTCTGGGTGTCTCTGCTGCTTCTCCTTCGTCTGTTTATTTGTTCCCTGTTTCCCTCTTCTTGGAGGATTCTGAGCACTGGTGCAGGGGAGGAAATCAAAGAAGGACAGCAGCTCCAGGCTGAACTCAGGCAGATGTGCAAGAAGACTAGCCCAGAGCATCCTGCTGGGCTTGTTAGATATGGGCTACCTTGCAGAATCTGTGATGAATAAACTCACCCCTCTTGGCCCAAGAGCTGCCCCTTTGAACATGTAATTATCAGGGCAAATCCAAACCTGAAGCATTTGTCTTGATCCACAATCACCAGTGACAAAGTTTTCCCTGCTGTCCTTGCTGTGATATCAGTTACAAAGCCCTGAAATGTTTTCTTCTCTTTCCTAGTGCTGTCCAGCCTTCCCTGCATGAAGGGGCAGAAACTGCATTAATTCTTGCTTCCTAGTAAGAGTCGGCCCTCTGTTCCATGTCCTCCCACCCTCTGGCTCTGCCCACCTGCTTTCCGTTGTAGATCATGGACACAAATGCCTCTGCCCGGAGCAACACCAGGACTATTGGCTCCTCCACCCAGTCCTCTCCGTCCTGCCCCAGGAGCACAGCACAGGGAGGGAGGTCAGCAGGTATTGAGCACCTGTGAGAGTGGCCCAGGGCTTCCAGGTGAATGAACTAACTCCCACACCTGTGCATTATCCCTTTCTTCTGGATTGAAGTCACTGTGGCAAGAAACAATGATGCAGTCCCTCCCACCCCTCAATTGTTCAGTCCTGGTGCCCTGCCTCTCAGAGACAGCGAATAAAAAAGGGACATAGCAAGTTGAAAGGGGCTGGGAAGTAATTGCCAATTTGTTCTGTACATTTTGAATGGGGGGGTGGAGAGAACGGAAACTCTTCCAAAGGATTTAGTACAGGTAAATGACTCTGGCTTTGAAGGTAGATGCTATGAGCTGAGTGGCCCTTACAATCACATAGTTTTTTTTTTTTTTGGGGGGGGGGTTTTGTGTGTGTGACAAAGACAAGAATCATAAGGGAGACATCAGTCTATGAGAGCAATTCCTCTTTATCACAGGGCATAATCAAAGTCAAGACTGCCTCAAGGCCAACAATCCTCCAGCAGTACAGTATTATAGAGTAATTGGGGAGCGGGACTTTTATAGAAAGTTTCCTGACTGGGTCCCTCATAAGCAAAAGCAAGACCCATACTACAGCAAAGTGTAGATGGGAGGAGCTCTGGGTTCTCGATCCCATTGTGGTCCTCAACAAGGCGTTTAACTTTTCTGAGCTCCAGTTTCCCCACCTGTGATGTGGGGTGAAGTCCTACCTTATAGGATGACTGACGGAAACACAAGAGAGAATGTGGGAGTGCCTTGACTGGGTAAGCTGCTCTATGAATATAAAGGCTTGCTAATACTACCCCAGAGTAAAAAGTGTGGGTAACTGTCCTATGTTACTGAGGAAGTTATCCAAAAAAGAAATCAAAGAGAGGAAAACAAAATCTTTTCTTTTTTTATACCAGATGCTTCTGGTGAGATAAAAAAGAATCTTAGCACCAGGCACAGTGGCTCACACCTGTAATCCCAGCACTTTGGAAGGCCGAGGCAGGCAGATCGCTTGAGCTCAGGAGTTCAAGAACAGCCTGGGCAACATGGCAAAACCCCACCTCTACCAAAAATACGAGCTCCACTCTGCTCTGTGATCTCTACAAAAATCATAGGGCCCACGTCTTCTGGCTCCCAGCTGGGTGTCACCAGCGGGGAACCCTAAAAGAGGACTAGTAGGAAGGAAGAAAGCGAAGTCAGGGTATTTTTCCCTGGCTTCCTCCCAGTGGGGTCACCTAAGGTTTGCTGCCCCCTCTATGGCAGCTCATAGCTTCTCTCAAGGTGGCCCTCTCTCCATTTCTCTCTCCTGGATTTTGTTAACCACTCCCACCCCTCATCCCTTCAGGCATAGGAATATTAACAGCTGTGCCAGCGGTTCTCAAACAGGAGTGATCTTTCCCCACAAACGACCCCTGATATGTCTGCAGAATTTGTTATTGTCATGACTGAGAGGGGTATATTGGTGGCCAGTGGCCAGGGATGCTGCTCAACATTTTGCACATCACAGGACAGCCCTCAAAACAGAGTTCTCCAATCTAAAATGCCAATACTGAGGTCGAAAAGCCCTGAGTTGTGCTGTTACCCTGAGGTACCATGCTGTCCCTGGTAGCTTCCTTGTACCCTGCCCATGCCTTGGGCAAACAGTCCCTTTATTCAATCTTTCTTCAATTACCCTGAGTTGAATGTGCCATCTGTTTTCCTGCTGGGGCCCTGACTGATAAGTATCATTTTTTAAAAAAAAGCATATTTATCCTGTAACTGTAAGGGGAGGAGGGGGAAGAAATGTCAGCCGGAAAACCCCTACCTCAGATGTTTCAGCCCTTCTCCTCCAAGTGACACTGCAAGGCACGGCCTGCGCCTCAATCACACAGCGGCACTCCATGGACTGCAGTGCTCCCAGGAGCTGCCCCCCACCTTCCATCTGTAAAAGCACTGCAACAGATGGAAAAGGGACTGTCAGTGGGTGGTCCAGAAAGCAGATAACTCAGCAAAGGACAAAGACACATGCAAGGACCTGGATCCAGCACCACAGTGATGTGTTTTAAGCATTCCTCTGGCCTCTGGGCTTTCATCCTGGTTACCGGTGCTGCCTTCTGTCTTTCCCGTCGTCTCAGGGTGCTTTCCTTCTGCCTTGCTTGTCTCTGCTGCTGGCATCCCTGTGAGCCTCTTCCCTGGACCTTCTGACTCTGCTTAGTTTTCTTTTGGGGTGGGAGGATTTCAGAATTTGTTTTGGTTACTGCCAAGCTGCTGCTCTGGCCAGGGCAGGTAGACTGGTAGGCTGGAAGCTGACGGCATGGATCTAAGATTGGGTCCTTGTTATCTAATGCACTCCTCTCTGGAGTATCGTGGAGGGGAACTTGAGGGATCTTTGAAAAGGGCTGCTTTTTCCAGTCACATGACACACCTTCATTATTTTGATGATCCAAAACACTTTTAATTAGGGAGCTAGAGTCCTCAGGGCTCAGTTGCCTGTGGGTCAGAAACTTACATATAAGCCTCTGAGCTAGAGGAACAGATTCTTCATCCTCACTTCCACTGCTTAGCAAACTGACTGGCTGTGTTTCTGTGACAGTTTCAGCTGTGTCTGGGGCAGGTGGTGAATCTTTCAAGCCTGGTGATGGAGGACAGGAGGCCTCAGAATCTGAGATGTCAACCACTACAATCTTCTCTTCCCTTTCAGGCTGTCTCCTCTTTGTTGAAGGTTCCTTCTTCAGAAAGGCAAATGTTGGCAACTCCTCAGAGTCACTATCACCAGAATCCAGTGAGGGTGATGACTTCTTCAGAGCCATCAGTATGTGCCATCAAATCATTCCCTGAAAGGAAAAGAGATATACGACACAGACTGGAGTATTCAATTCAGTCCGCTAGCTGTCTTCCATAGCCAAGCTTTATGAAGAAAAATATAAGATCTAGATAATACAGAAACAGAGAAATATGACATGGCCCCAACACATTCTATCTGGAACTCTAACTCCTGGTAGTCTAACAGGAATCCTCCTCAAATTCTTTCCAGTTGACAACAAAGTAGAGTTACCATTACAAAATTTGAATGGGGGCTAGTAACAAGATTTAACACCTCCACCCTCTTGTTGATCTCCACATTTGAAATGGAGATGTCAAAAATTACCCTTTTTTTTTTTTCTTTTGAGATGGAATCTCACTCTGCCGCCCAGGTTGGAGCGCAGTGGCATAATCTCAGCTACTGCAACCTCTGCCTCCCAGGTTCAAGTGATTCTCCTGCCTCGGTCTCCTGAGTAGCTGGGATTACAGGCATGTGCCACCACACCTGGATAATTTTTGTATTTTTAGTAGGGACAGGGTTTCACCATGTTGGCCAGGCTGGTCTTGAACTTCTGACCTCAGGTGATCTGCGAGCCTTGACCTCCCAAAGTGCTGAGATTACAGGTGTGAACCACCACACATGGTCAAAAGTTGTTTTTGTTTTTTTAAACTGAGATAAAGGCTGGGCATGGTAGCTCATGCCTATAATCTCAGCACTTTAGGAGACCAAGGCAGAAGGATCACTTAGGCCCAGGAGTTGGAGATCAGCCTAGGCAACATAGTGAGAACTCAACTCTACAAAAAAAAAAAATACAGCTGGATGTGGTGGCTCACATCTATAGTCTCAGACACTCAGGAGGATGAGGTGGGAGTATTGCTTGAGCCTGGGAGGTCAAGCCTGCAGTGAGCTGTGATTGTACCACTGTACTCCAGCTTGGGTGACAGAGTGAGACCCTGCTTCAAAAGGAAAATAAAATAAAAAGACATATAATTCGCACATCATAATATCCTTTGAAAAGTGTACATTCAGAAGTTTTTTAGTATATTCACAATGTTGTGCAACCAGCATCATTTATTTTCATCACCTCAAAAAGAATTCCTGCAGCCATTAAGCAGTCACTGTCCATTTCCTCCCTCTCCCCAGCTCCTGGCAACCATAAATCTCTCTATGCATTTGCCTATCCTGGATATTTCATATAAATAGAATCACACAATATGTGGCCTTTCATGACTGGCTTTTTTCACTTAGCATAATGTTTTCAAGGTTTATTTATGATGTAGCCTGTATCAGTACTTATTGCTTTTTATAACTAATATTCCATTGTATGGATATGCTACATTTTGTTTATCCATTAATCACTTGGGACATTTGTTTCCTCTTTTTTTTTTTTTTTTTTTTTGGCTATTTTAGTGGGGGTATGTTTTCAAATCCCTTGCGTGTATATACCTAGGAGTAGAATTGCTGGGTCATGTGCAAAGCTAATCATTCCTTGAATATTTACTAACGCTGTAGGTATGACCCAAGAGGAGACATGTAACCTGCCTAGGTCTCAGTTTCTTTCTTAGTAAAACAGGGACAATAACAGCACCCATTTTATAAGGTGGTGAAAATTAAATGAAATAATGCATCCACCGCGCTAAGTACAGTATCTGGCACACAGCTGGCTGGGTAAAGTAAGCTGAATGACTAAGCAGGGGGCCTCATCTCTTCCCCTTCGCTTGGGCTCTGCTGACATCTCAAATGAGGGGAGTGGGACAAGCGGGCCCCTGCCCGATAAGCTCTGCGCCTCTCAGGCTGGCGGTCCGCTGCAGAGACTCCTGGACGCCCTGGCCACCAAGACGCTGCAGACTAGTCCTCAGGAGGCAAGCCCTGCCCAACCCCCTGGCCCGCGACCGGGGATACTCACCGGCAACTTCTCCCGCCTCTCTTTCAACTGCCACGCAGGACCCGGAAGTAGAGCTGCTGATATCGGAAGTAGAACCTTTTGGGAATCGGAAGTTGGTGAACGCAAGCATGGCGTCGGCGGTGCTGGCGCTGAGGATCCGGACAGCCGGTAATGGGACGCGGTAGTCAGAGCAGGGCGAGCAGGGGAGGCAGAGTAGAGATCCAGCAGGGAGGGAAGGAGGTGACATTAATTTCTGCAGAGGACCCCGAATGCAAGGGGAAGTCTGTGGGGCACTCCAGGTTTGAGGGCCGGCTGTCGCTGGTCACGTGACACACCCTGAGTGAAGCCGTGGGTGGGGGAGTTTGAGGAGCACTTGTCCTTCCCCTCCCTCAGGAGCACGGACGGCGTCCTTGTCGGTTGGGGGTTTGGGTGGATCCTTCCTTTCTGTGTAGAAGCATTAGTAACATTGGCACACTGGGGCTGAAAAAGTTCATCTTAATCATTCCACAGATTAAGGTCTTACTTTGTGCTAGACACAGAGGTAGGTGTTTGGATAATATGCAGAAAACGTGAAGACAGTAGGCCTCTAACTCCCGAACGGTTCCTTCTGGTGCATAAGCCAATAAATGAACACATAAAATAGTTGTAAACTGGCAAGTGCTGTGAAGAAAGAGTGTGTGTGTGTGTGTCTTTTTTTAGATTGGATGGTGAAGGAAGTCCTCTGAGGTCCTCTGAGGAGATAATATTTAAGACCCAAAGAATGACAGAAGGCGTGCAGTGGCTCATGGCTGTAATTCCAGCACTTTGGGAGGCTGAGGCGGGCAGATGACTTGAGCCCAGGAGTTCAAGACCAGCCTGAGCAACGTGTCAAAACCCCGTCTCTACAAAAAATACAAAAATTAGCTGGGTGTGGTGGTGCGTGCCTGTGGTCTCAGACACTTAGGAGGCTGAGGCGGGAGGTCGAGGCTGCAGTGAGCTGTGTTCATACCACTGCACTCCAGCCTGAGTGACAGAATGGAGCCTTGTCTCAAAAAATAAAAAAAGAATTACAGGACAGTTAGCCCTGTGTAGAGTGAGGGACAGGAGAGTGACTTGAGCCAGTTTTATGTTTTGAGATGCGAACTATTGCTCTTATGTAAATTTAAAGGGGATAGGAGTAGAAATGAGGAAATCAGATGGAAAGCTATAATAGCAGTTATGAGGAGAGATGATTTAGCCAAAGTGTTTGTGGTGGCAGTGAACTGGGAGGAAAATGGATGAATTTGAGATCTGTTTTGGAGTTAGTAGCATCCACAGAGCTTGCTGGTGAACTGGGTATGTGAAGTCAGTAAAGAGAAGGGATCTGCAGTGACTGTGGTTTCTGCCTAAGCAACTGGTTGGATGGTGACATCATTTGCTTTGAGGAGGAGAATGGGGAGTAGGATGAAAGATTTGTGAATGAGATAATGTAAGTAAAGTAAAAGCCTAGTTCCTGAGCTTAGTAAGTACATGAATGAATGATTAGATGTTTAGAGGTAGGTATATCCTGGTCCTGGGCATTTAACCTGTTGTCTTTCAAAGTCCTTATCACTGGTCCTTTGCCCCAACTAGTCTCTTTGTCATGGAAATGTCAGAAACTCAGGCTTCAGGAACCTCTGAACTTACAGGCTTCAGAGACACACAAGGCTTCTCTAATGACACTGACATGGGCCTTAAATCATGGCTGTGTCTGGAGACCTCTGCAGGCAAGGACTTCCACCCCTAGGCTTGTCGTACAGCAAGGGACTACGATCTTAGTTGAATTTTAGTTCATTTTACTTTTTCAAATGAATGGCATTGAGCTCTTTGGAATGAGTATGAAGAGGTCAGATTAACAAGGGCATGTGTGCGTCATGGTTGGACCTCTGCTTGATGGACTTTGGGAAGAAAGGGCCTAGCCTTCTGAAATGGCCAGGACCCTGTGGGAGCCACCCTTAGACCAGCTGCCCTTTTGGTTTTCTAGTGTTTGATGTGCAGTGGATGAGTGGGTAGCTAAGAAAGTTGTGGGTGAGGCCAGGCACAGTGGCTCATGCCTGTAATCCCAGCACTTTGGGATCACCTGAGGTCAGGAGTTCGAAACCAGCCTGACTAACATGGTGAAACCCCATTTCTACTAAAAATACAAAAAATTAGCCAGATGTGTTGGCACGCGCCTGTAATCCCAGCTGCTTCGGAGGCTGAGGCAGAAGACTCGCTTGAACCCAGGAGGCGGAGGTTGTAGTGAGCTGAGATCGCGCCATTGCACTCCAGCTTGGGCAACAAGAGCGAAACTCTAACAAAAAAAAAGTCATGGGTAAGGCTGAAGCAGAAGTCTCTCTGGATGTGCTGGGCTCCCCAGGTCTGTTCTGGCCCCTCCAGGGTGCATGAGGATGAGCGAGCTTCTGAAGCAGGCAGCTCTGTGGTGTCCATTTCTCCTTAGCACATTCAGACTGAATGTGTCAGGACCCAGAACACCTAATGTTTATTTTTTTCCATTTATATTTCACTGCTCCCCTCACCTCCCCCAAAAGGAGAAGGCCAAGGACTTACATTCCTTAACACACTCAGTGACACTTCTGCTCCCCTGACACATCTTTCTCATCTCCCCACTGCCTCTCACCTCTCAGCAAGTGGCCCATTGAGGCAGAAAGAGTTTGAGCCTGTCTGTCTGAACAGTGTTTCTGTTTTCTCTGCAGTTACATCCTTGCTGAGCCCCCCTCCGGCTACAGCTCTTGCCGTCAGATATGCTTCCAAGAAGACGGGTGGTAGCTCCAAAAACCTCGGTGGAAAGTCATCAGGCAGACGCCTGGGCATTAAGAAAATGGAAGGTGAGGATGTGCCTTGGCTTCCCCTTCCCAGCTGCACCTTGTCCTGGTGTTCCTTGCGAGAGCAGAAAAACCCTGAATGTGCCTGGCCCTGTTCTTTCTCACCATCGTAACTGGCTCCAGATTAAAGGAACAGATAAGATCGGAGGAAAGGTCATCAGGTGGGTGGCTGTGAGCCACAGCCATGTGATTAGAGATAAGAGCTGCTGGGTGGCAGATCCTGTACTTCCTGTGTTGGACTGTCTGGGAGTTGCTTTTGGCCAGGGGCAGGCTTGGAGGTTGGTGTGCAGCCTTTAGGCCATTGTGTTTTGTTGGTAGTTTGCTACACTGCCCCAATCACTGTGGGTTTCTCTTCTAGGACACTATGTTCATGCTGGGAACATCCTTGGAACACAGCGCCAGTTCCGCTGGCACCCAGGTGCCCATGTGAGTTGCTCTGTTGCTGCCCCCCTTTTTCTTTTTCGAGGATGACCTCTCCGTGCCCCTAAGCATGGTAATAACAGTTGAATGCACTGGATGCTTACCAAATGGCAGGCATTGTGCAGATACCCATGCCTGCATGATCTCATTTCTTCCTTACCACATTCCTGTGAGGCGGGTATTGTCCCCATGTTACAGGTGAAATGCCAGAGGCTTAGCAGAGGTGGGAGGAGCAAGTGGCTGCTGGGATTTGCACCAGGTCTGCCTAACTCCCAGATCTCCGTGTTTTGCCTTGGTATCGCATTGGCCTGGTATTCTTGATTCTCCTTCTAACCCTCAGTTCTTGGAGGACAAGATACCTGGTGATTTTAAATATTTTTTTAGTCTTGGGAAACTAATTTCAATTTATTAGTTTTTCATTATGTCTAAGAATTCTTCCTTTGCATAAACTTACTTGTTGAAAGTTGAAAGATAGCTTGAATTTAATGAAATAGAATTCGGTGTGCCAGAAATTAGGTCCATACCAGGTAGGGGTTTCAGTTTCAGCAAGTTGGCATGATTTTTATGGGGCAGGACAGTTCTTTGTTACAAAGACAGAACGATACTGAACTTTTCACATTGATTTAAATATTAGTTTCTTTTGTAAACAGTTTCCCCTCCCCTGCTCCTTTTCGGATAACATTAGTAGGTACAAAAAGTCTGATAATAACCTGTATTTATTTCAGAGATGCTAATTTATATATGTGAATCGATTATAGATGTAGTAGCTTTGCCTTTTAAAACTTAAGACATTAGATTTGTAGCTATGTCAACAACAATCAAAGCTAACATATTTTGAACTAGACACTATTCTAAGCCCTTTATGATTGTTGACCACTAATCCTCAAAATGACCCTGTAAAGTAATAAATATTATCCCCATTTGACATATGAAACAATAAAGGCACAGTGAAGTAACTTACCTAAGACCACACAGGAGTAAGTGGCAGTGCTGGGATTTGAACCAGGCATTCTGGCTCCAGAGCCCATTCTTTTAATCAGAGAGACAGACAGTAGTGCTGGACTACCTGGGTAAAATTTGCTACACATCCAGCCTGAAGTTCTAAAGGAAAAGCTAAAAGATACAGTTAAAAACTGTATATACAACACAGTTTAACTTCTCTGCTTCATATTTCTCATCTGAAAAATGATGTTGGAAATAATACCTCTTTCACAAGGTGAGGATTAAATGACTTCATTGCATGGGAATTAGCTGATGGAATAGTATGATTATTAGCATATGCATTAACCATATATAGCTTTGGTCTGTATTTTCCATAGAGCCTAAACTTGATAGATCACTATCTAGATGAAAATTTACATCAAACTACTGTTTTAATATGACAGTTCTAGTGTTTTTTAAGTCTAAATGAAGATATAGGGCATCTTCCTGGGTTTTAGGATTTGTCCAGTGTGGCTTCTGACCAGCTGCATAGACGTGGCTCCAGGTGACAGCTCCCCTGGGACTGAGCAGTGACCCGTGTTGGCTGTTGGAGCTTTCTTTTCCCTCCTTTGTTATGAGTCAGTAAAGAAGCAGAAGGTGTGAAAGTGCCAGCCAGTGGGAAAGGGAACCTGAGATGGAGCTCTCTGATCCCTCTCTTTGGCACCAGGGCTTGACTCTGTGTGAGAACTATGTCCCAAAAACCTGGGACAGACCACCTTGCTGACCAGCTGACCAGCTCTGTGTGTTGCAGGTGGGTCTTGGGAAGAATAAATGTCTATATGCCCTGGAAGAGGGGATAGTCCACTACACTAAGGAGGTCTACGTGCCTCATCCCAGAAACATGGAGGCTATGGATCTCATCACCAGGCTGCCCAAGGGTGCTGTGCTCTACAAGACTTTTGTCCACGTGGTTCCTACCAAGCCTGAGGGCACCTTCAAACTGGTAGCTATGCTTTGAAGTCCTGTTTGAGGTCATTGGACAGAGACCGGAGCCCAGGTGACAGGAGATGGTGATACCAGAAGTCAAGGATTGGGGCAATGACACAGCCTCCCGAGGAAGATGTCTGCTTGATGGTGACTCTGCAGGAGACTCTGAAGTGACTGCTGGGAAACCCTTTGGGAGACCTGACCTGAGACCAAAAATAAAGTGAACCAGAGTCATGAACGTATGCTATTCAGGGACACACCTAGATGGAACTGCCTGGTGTTGGTCCTTACCCGGGTTCTCTAGTGTACACCAGTGGGGATCCTCAAAGCAGGAAAGCGCATATCTGAGTGAGGAAATTAGAAGGGGGCACTTTGCAGGAGGGGGCTTGCTTTGGCACAGTCCTCCAGTGGGGAAGGAGGGGAGCTTGTGCTTGAGGGTGTCATTGCTGCTTCCCCTCCTAGATCCCAGAAAAGACCAGGGGCTGGCCCTGGGAAGAGGGGTGGGGGCAGCCAGTAAAGGAAGCTACACAGTCAAGTTCTTCTCCTGTAGCCACATGCAAAGGGAGTTGGGGCTGTAACCCCAGAGATGGCCACAGGGAAGACTCTGCCTCTCCAGGTCCAGGGCAGAGAGAGAGCTTGTGGGATAGCAGGAGATGCTTCTGAGAGGCTCAGTCAGGCCTCATCTGCCCTGGACTACCAAGGTCCTTCCAGTGGCAGGACAGAGTAGGTAACAAATGGCTTCTTCCCGCTCACCTGAAGAGCTAGGCTTACCAAGCCCACGTTCTTTTCTAGTTCTTGGTTTATCTCAAACGATAAAGAATCTGGCTTCAGGAATACTTGGTGAGGGCTTAGAGTGGGCTGGGGCCAGGCCTTCATTGTCATCCCAGCCAAGAGCTTTAGAGGCTTGGCTTTGAGTGGAGGGCCAGGAAGAAAATCAAGTTTTTAGATGGTCATTCCTGGCTGTTGGAGGTAGGTGGTATTGGCTACAGCCCCAGAGAGGGGCTTGTGGGTCCAGTGGCTTCCTTTCAGGGACTCTATTCTGCCCTGAAGGCAGACACTCCAGGGCTGGAGGTCAGAGAAGCCTCCCAGTTCTGGAGGTCTGTCTTGAACATGTCATCTTGTTTTCCCAGGACACGACCCTGGATTCCCCACCTCCTGCAGATCCTTGGCAGAGGAGACCTGGGATTTGTGGGGTTTACTTTGGCACCCTGTGTGGGGACATCATGTACTAAGGCCCAGCTGGGGTAGTCTTTAGGCAGGGGAGATCGATGAGGGCTGTCTCCACAGGCTCAGTGCTCTCCCTTCCAGTCCCCTGGAGAAAGGGCAAGAGCAGGACAGAGGTGGTTGCTCCCTCCTACACTGTGGTGCTTCTCTGAGCAGGGCAGGTGGCTGCTTCCTGGGATGGCCAAGTAGAGCCACAGCGGGGCGCTGGTGCAGGCAGTGACCTTATGGCTTCCTCATAGCTTGGTGGCAGCTGGAGAGATGGGAGAGCAAAGGCATTAGCCACTTGCTTGCCCTCCCCGCATATATGCAACACCCTTTCTTTGGACTGTTGCTTTCTGCATCTCCCGGTGGGTGCTGGAGATGTTGGCTCCATGGAAACCCCTCTCGTTAGGCCTCCCAGGGCTGGGGCCTGTACCATCTACACAAAGGTGAACTGGGGCCTCCAGCCATATCCTTGGGTTCTCCACTAGCGGCCCTTTTCTTGACCCCAGGGCCTCTAATTGGGTATTGTGTGTTAAAATGCAGTAAGTGAAAAGCTCAGTTCACCCAGGGCACTCCAGGGCTGAGAAGGCTGGACATTCACCTCTCTGCAGGCCCAGAGCCCGAAGCGCTGTGCAATCAGCTGGTGAATATGCTGTTGCCGGTCCTTCTTTCGAACACTCTCATAGCTGGGCAGACGAGCTGGCTGCCACAGGGGCAGCTGGTGGCTCCTGGGCAGCCCCACACAGAATACCTCACCCCCGTGGGCGTGGCCCTATGACCAAGAAAAGTCAAGGGAGCCAGGGAGGCATGCACCAGTGTTACCCAGCTTCGATCTGGATCCTCTTCCCCAGAGCAAGCTCAAGTTCAGGCGCATTACACTCCTCCCTTTCCTCCAAGAAGCCTCTCCAGTCTTCATCCCATCCTTCCCTCCCCTGCATTCTTCTTAGTCCCCTCAACCACACTAGGTCCCTTGCCTGGCTTCAGAACCCCAGCACACACTTCTTCCCCCATCCTGGGTGGCAGGCCCAGGGCTCCTCCCTCACCTGTATCCCCTGGAACTCTTGGCTCCTTTCCGCTGGCTGGACCTCAGCATGATGTCCCATGGTGCTGAAGTAGGGAGGCGGGCAGTCCTGGGATCATGAAGCACAACTCAGGGTGAAGCTCATGATCAGTGTGCAAGACAGCAGATTCCAAACCCTTTCTTTTCCTCCATGCCCCTTTCTCCATCCCCTTAATCCTGTCCACCTGGGCCAAGGCACAAAGCTCAGACCTTGAGCATTTCTGAAATGCACTGGGGTGTAGAGGTTCCACTCCTTTCTGGGCACTAGCTCATTCTGTCACTGTCTTGTAGCCAGCTCTGATGACCTTTGGCAGGAGAGTCAGAGAAAACCTCTTCCTGTCCCTACCCTTCCTGCCTGGTGCCCAA